CGAGGTGAGGGTTTGAGGTTATCTTACCAAGGTTAACGAGGTGAGGGTTTGAGGTTATCTTACCAAGGTTAACGAGGTGAGGGTTTGAGGTCATCGCTCCGAGGTTAACGAGGTGAGGGTTTGAGGTTATCGCACCGAGGTTAACGAGGTGAGGGTTTGAGGTTATCTCACCAAGGTTAACGAGGTGAGGGTTTGAGGTTATCTTACCGAGGTTAACGAGGTGAGGGTTTGAGGTTATCTTACCGAGGTTAACGAGGTGAGGGTTTGAGGTTATCTTACCAAGGTTAACGAGGTCAGGGTTTCAGGTTATCGCTCCGAGGTTAACGAGGTGAGGGATTGAGGTTATCTTACCAAGGTTAACGAGGTGAGGGTTTGAGGTTATCTTACCAAGGTTAACGAGGTCAGGGTTTGAGGTTATCTTACCGAGGTTACCGAGGTGAGGGTTTGAGGTTATCTTACCAAGGTTAACGAGGTGAGGGTTTGAGGTTATCTAACCAAGGTTAACGAGGTGAGGGTTTGAGGTTATCTTACCAAGGTTAACGAGGTGAGGGTTTGAGGTTATCTAACCAAGGTTAACGAGGTCAGGGTTTGAGGTTATCTTACCAAGGTTAACGAGGTCAGGGTTTGAGGTTGCCTTATCGAGGTTAACGAGGTGAGGGTTTGAAGTTATCTTACCAAGGTTAACGAGGTCAGGGTTTGAGGTTATCTTACCGAGGTTAACGAGGTGAGGGTTTGACGTTATCGCTCCGAGGGTAATGAGATGAGGGTTTGAGGTTATCTAACCAAGGTTAACGAGGTGAGGGTTTGAGGTTATCTAACCAAGGTTAACGAGGTGAGGGTTTGAGGTTATCTTACCAAAGTTAACGAGGTGAGGGTTTGAGGTTATCTTACCGAGGTTAACGAGGTGAGGGTTTGAGGTTATCTTACCAAGGTTAACGAGGTGAGGGTTTGAGGTTATCTTACCAAGGTTAACGAGGTGAGGGTTTGAGGTTATCTTACCAAGGTTAACGAGGTGAGGGTTTGAGGTTATCTTACCAAGGTTAACGAGGTGAGGGTTTGAGGTTATCTTACCGAGGTTAACGAGGTGAGGGTTGAGGTTATCTTAACAAGGTTAACGAGGTGAGGTTTTGAGGTTATCTTACCAAGGTTAACGAGGTGAGGGTTTGAGGTTATTTACCAAGGTTAACGAGGTGAGGGTTTGAGGTTATCTTACCAAGGTTAACGAGGTGAGGGTTTGAGGTTATCTTACCAAGGTTAACGAGGTGAGGGTTTGAGGTTATCTTACCAAGGTTAACGAGGTGAGGGTTTGAGGTCATCTTACCAAGGTTAACGAGGTGAGGGTTTGAGGTCATCGCTCCGAGGTTAACGAGGTGAGGGTTTGAGGTTATCGCACCGAGGTTAACGAGGTGAGGGTTTGAGGTTATCTTACCAAGGTTAACGAGGTGAGGGTTTGAGGTTATCTTACCAAGGTTAACGAGGTGAGGGTTTGAGGTTATCTTACCGAGGTTAACGAGGTGAGGGTTTGAGGTTATCTTACCGAGGTTAACGAGGTGAGGGTTTGAGGTTATCTTACCAAGGTTAACGAGGTGAGGGTTTGAGGTTATCGCTCCGAGGTTAACGAGGTGAGGGATTGAGGTTATCTTACCAAGGTTAACGAGGTGAGGGTTTGAGGTTATCTTACCAAGGTTAACGAGGTCAGGGTTTGAGGTTATCTTACCGAGATTAACGAGGTGAGGGTTTGAGGTTATCTTACCGAGGTTAACGAGGTCAGGGTTTGAGGTTATCTTACCAAGGTTAACGAGGTGAGGGTTTGAGGTTATCACTCCGAGGTTAACGAGGTGAGGTTTTGAGGTTATCTTACCGAGGTTAACGAGGTGAGGGTTTGAGGTTATCGCTCCGAGGTTAACGAGGTGAGAGTTTGAGGTTATCTTACCAAGGTTAACGAGATGAGGGTTTGAGGTTATCTAACCAAGGTTAACGAGGTGAGGGTTTGAGGTTATCGCGCCGAGGTCAACGAGGTGAGGGTTTGAGGTTATCTAACCAAGGTTAACGAGGTCAGGGTTTGAGGTTATCTTACCACGGTTAACGAGGCCAGGGTTTGAGGTTACCTTATCGAAGTTAACGAGGTGAGGGTTTGAAGTTATCGCTCCGAGGTTAACGAGGTGAGGGTTTGAGGTTATCTAACCAAGGTTAACGAGGTGAGGGTTTGAGGTTATCTTACCAAGGTTAACGAGGTCAGGGTTTGAGGTTATCTTACCAAGGTTAACGAGGTGAGGGTTTGAGGTTATCTAACCAAGGTTAACGAGGTGAGGGTTTGAGGTTATCGCTCCGAGGTTAACGAGGTGAGAGTTTGAGGTTATCTTACCGAGGTTAACGAGGTGAGGGTTTGAGGTTATCTTACCAAGGTCAACGAGGTGAGGGTTTGAGGTTATCTTACCAAGGTTAACGAGGTGAGGGTTTGAGATTATCTTACCAAAGTTAACGAGGTGAGGGTTTGAGGTTATCGCACCGAGGTTAACGAGGTGAGGAGGGGTGAGGTGATGAGGGGGTGATGTTTAGAGATTCACTTCTCACGCGACATTAACGGTGTACAGTAAAATATGTTGGCGTAAGGCACTACTAGCACTAGAGTACATAATGGAACGTTTATCCATAATAATCCGATATTATTGTACCCTACAATTTTGTAATCATATCAACAGGATGCAAGATGTATGTATGTTGAACTTCTTTCGCACCGTACATAGCAAACCGTGCAAATCGCGGAGGTGCGGGGTGAAGGGCAACAAACGAAACGCGAACAAAAAAACATCCCAAAAAGGAAATTTAAAAAAAAACACACAAGACGATGTGGTAGCCGTGGCGTGGCCAAAAAATCATCCCCCGGGGGGGGGTGGGGGGGCAGTGTTCCGGAATGTTCCGACTGCAGTTGAAGCAGTGCCGGATGATCCTAGTAGCACAAGTATCTACACGTGCTACGGGCCCCGCACTTTAAAGGGCCCCGCGCTAAATGCTTTCAAGCTATCAATTCCGGTTCAGTGATTCTGCACTTGCTCTATTACTACAGGACTATACCGCCTTCAACTTTTATGAACGACTGAGTGTTTAAGGTTAGCGATTTGTCGTATTATCTGGCTCTATGGGAAAATGAAGAAAAAAAACAATTACTTTACTATGCGAGTAAAAAAATTGTGTTTTAATATTTGCTTTTTTATATTTAGGGCCCCTTCATAACATATGCTACATGCCCCGCAACTAGCTTAATCCGGCACTGAGTAGAAGGCACTGGGTGAAGTTACTAAGCTAAACGTTGAACTCAAACCGAGGGCGGCTGTAGAGCCCCCCCCCCCCTGCCCCCCGACTCTGGGGCGGACAATCAATGGAGCAGCTGGCACAACCTGCCCCGCCAGGGAACACGATGGCCCTCACTCGACACCGTAGAACCGGCCTTAACGCAACGCCACTTCACGACTCCTTCACATACTTTGAAGCAGATGCAGCACATGCAGCGGCAGTGAAGCGGTTGAAAAATCTGCAGCAAAAGCAACAGTTGGAAGCAACGGTAAGAGAAGAAGCAGAAGCAACGACAGCAGCAGAAGCTGCTGCGTCGAAGCCCTGTGTAAAGTAAACATTCGTCCCGATAAAAAAAAATGTTTCCATGCGGGTGTGTAATTTGCGAGTGAACGACTGCTGGCAGTGAGCCTTTGGTACGACCTTCCTGTGCTGTTTGAACCGTGTGGTTTTCGGGCATGCAAGGATTTTTTTTTTAACTTTCCGTTATGATGATGGCGGTGGTGGTTTTATAGGCGAGGAATGGAAAATCTGCAGGATTCCTATAAAAGGCAACCCGGTACATTCGACTACACTGTGGTCTGAATATAAAATATATATAAAAATGGCTGATGTTTCGGATAATGACCCTTCTGTATCACACGTGATTAATAGAGCTTACAGCAGGGAATTACACTTTTTTCCTTCATATGTTTCTGGTTGAACGATAATTTTTTTCCCAACCACCGGCTTGACCAGAATAAAAGTCACAATTAATTTTCATCCGCATCACCCAGCTCAATTGTAGCCATACTTCACCTTCGCGATCCCAGCAGCAGAACTGTGCATTACCATTGTGTTATCACGGACGAGGTGTAAAGCTCCTAAAACTGTGGCCTACGCTGTGGGCATCAGAGAAGGAGTATACTGCAGATCGACATCAATCGTCGTACTGTATTGTACTTCTATGCTTCCCACCTTCGCCAACCCAGACTACGTACGTGTGTGTGTGTGTGTAAATCTGCTGCTAATACTGCTTCAGCTAGCGTCATCACCATAAATCAGCCATGGTCAATCCACTGCTGGATGGAGGCCTCCCCGTGGCTGCCGGCAGTAGCCTCCCCCTCTCAGTCCTGTGATGTAATTCGGTGGGTTGGCACAATAAATGAGGGGTTATTTAAAATGATAGCAGGGATTTCCACCGTTGCTGAGATTAAAAAAAAAATAATCAAACTATTTAAAAACAAAACAACCTGTTATTATTGCAAAATGCCCGTCATTTTACAATTAAACAGACGTGCCAAGACTTGTCAAGAATTAATGGCATTGAACATTTATGATGTGGCGATATCGTCGACTGAGATTGAAATAGATTATTTAGCCATGAGACACATAATGAGTGAGAATCAATGATTGATTATCATTTATCCCAATTAAATTCTAAGGATATGGAAATGTTACATTTAGGGCAATGTAATAAGCAAATCTGTGGAAATGAGACAGAAAAATGACGAACAATATATAAGCAGGATGGAAAATATGAGACACGAAAATGAACTGATTCTTTAATTGAATGTTGAATTACAACGATGCAAAGAATCAGTGCGGTGAGCTCGATCGCTGCTCAATCACACAGACTCGTATAACGAATGTCACTGCTCGATCACTGCTCAATCACTGCTCGATCACACAGACGCACGTATTCAGAATGTCACCGCTCGATCACTCACTGCTCCTTGGTGTGCAGCTCCCTCTCCTTGCGCAGCAGCTCCTGGCGCAGCGCGGCGATCATCCCGGCGCTGGCGTCCACCTGGCGAGACAGCTCTTCCACACGCCGCGCCAGCTCCTCCTTCTCGCGGCCCAGCTGCCGCGAGCGTGCCTGCGCCTCGCCCAGGTCGGCCGCCTGCCGCACCAGCTCGGCCTCCAGCCGGCACGTGCGGACCGCCGGCCCCCGGCCTCCCGAGGACTCGCTTGCCGCCTCGTCCTCGTCCCGGTCGTCATCGTCCTCCTCCTCCTCATCCTCATTCTCCTCTTCCTCCTCCCCTGCCGTGCCGCGGCCGCCGACGCCGCCGCTGTCGCGCTCACGGCAGTTGTCTCGTCCGGGCGCGGGCGGCGCCGCGAGCGGCCGTAGGCGCGCCGCCGCGCGGTAGTGCTTATCCGGCGGCTGTGGGGGGGAGGTAATTGGTGACGGGGGGTGGGGGGCCACGGTCCCCACCCCCCCCCCACCGCCAAGAGGAGGGTCGGGGTTAGTGCTTGCGAGAGTCGTGGTTGGGGGCGAGAGGGCTGGGGCGATGGCGCACCGGTGTAGTGGGCTTGGCTACGGCAGGAGGGGAGCTCGTGCGGAGAGGCTGCACGGCTTTGCGGTTGAAGGCCATATTCATATTTATAGTAAGGAATTTGGTCACAGTGGTTAGGGTCGGGTTGAGATGCGCAGTAGGTTGAGTGGACAGGGTAACTGGTTAATGGCAAGGAGGTGGAGGTGGGGGGTAATGCTGCGAGGCTGGAGGACACACCATTGGTTCTGTGCCAGGCAGGACTTAATTTTAGCTCATTCTCAGAATTAGAATCAAAATAAGTGTTTATACTGTTGGGCTATACATATATTTTTCACAGATCCCCAGTAGGGGCGGGTAAGAACGATTCTGTCTGGGTTAGCGACCCAAACACAATGTTCCTACATCCTAGCACACCACATCTGGCACACCGCATCCAGTATACCCCTTGGTATGACTGCAGCTACTCGTCACATGCTTTTTTTCTGGCGACCGGCAACCAGGAAAATATTCGGTGAGACATTACACCGCGGTGCAGGATGGCGTTTCCATAGGCCACCCCAGTGAGCTGGTGGCCTGTGGAGACGTCACCCTGGGATCTGCACAGTGCACGAGCCTTCAACAGCACGGACTGTAGCCCGCACTGCCGGGATCTCACTGCTGGATGCTCATGGCTCAATTTTCAACAACATGAATTTCGCACGATAACATTCATTTTTCCGAACCGTAACTCTGTGCCTTCTTTCATTTCATCGGGAAAGCTTCTCTCTTTCAGGAATTTCCTGGTTGTAAAAATAATGACGCCACTTTTCAATTCCACTGCCGGATGAAGGCCCTCCCCAAGTCGTGTTAGCGGGTGCGGACCACCACTCAGCCCTGGCAACAAGGGCCAAACGTGAGTATCCCCCGGGGGCGCTTCAGCAGAGCTCTCGGTCATTTCATGATTTTGGTCTGAGTGTCCGTTAGGGTCAGAAGGTTTGGACACCCCTGATACAGACGCACAAAGACACAGATCCCTCGTGTAGCCTTCACAGACTGTTGGGGCAAGTGCTGTTAGCGAGCACCTACTGAGGCTGGCACGGCACACGAAGGGGTGGGTGGCCAGCACCACGCCCGGCCGCCTTTGTCTCCCTAGTGGCGATGTTTACACACCGCACCAGGTACTCAATTCAGGCTGAGTCGACCTAGGGGAGGCCCAAGACCAGTTCAGATAATCGTCACTGGCGCTGGCCGTGAGCGGGAATCAAACCCGGGTCGCCAGATGCATCTCGCAGCGCGGTAACCGCCGCACTCCCGCTCCCCGTGATATAGACGCACGCACGCGCAAGCTCCACTCACGTCGCTGTACCACGCGTGGCGCGTGGGCCGTCGCACCAGCACCTCGCAGAGCATCTCGCCGGTCTCCGTCGCGGGCCCCACCTTGCGCACGGGCCCCTCCACCCAGAGGCGCGCGTCCCCTCCCAGCCGGCCGGCCCTGCGGCCCGCCAGCTCGGCGCCGGCGGCGGCGGCGGCGGCGGCGCCGCGCTCGTACGACGAGGCGGCTCCTCCTCCTCCGGTCGCCAAGGCCAGCGGCCCGCGGCCTCCTCCTCCCACACCGCCGCCTCCTCCGCCGCCGCGGGAGGCCGCGCCGCTGGCCGCTATGGCCGACGCGGCTCGGCCCGCCCCGGTGAGGCCCAGGCCGCCCGGCACGCGGCACGACTTGGAGAGGACGTAGAGCGTCTCGTACGTGTGGCTGTACTCGAGGTGCGCGCGCAGCGAGGACAGGCTGCGGAAGCGCTTGTGGTCACCGCAGCGGGGGCAGCGGTAGGGCAGCTGCCCCGACATGGGGGACGGAGCACCGGGCCGGCGGGCCAGGGCAGAGGAGGTCGACGGCGGTTGGGATGGTCGAGGAGGCGGGTGCTCACTCGGTGGTGAGTGCGACGACCACCGCGACCACGACGTTGTCGTCGTCCCGGGGTTCGTGGCGCTGCCAAGTCGAGTGAGGATGAGTGGGACCTGGTTCAGGATGGCACAGAATATTCCCGTGCGATTATGCACTTTTAAATCTCGATTGAAAACTCATTTCTTGAGAACTGCTCTTTCGTGTTTAGTACTGTTGTCCTTTCCCCGCACCTCCGATTAGCACGGTTGGCTATCTACATCTATTTGTACGTGGATGTTTAAATGTAGTCGCACAGTCTTATGGAAATTTGGTTTAATATGATGGTTTGGGTTTTCACGGGGGTTTGCTTTTTTACTTTATAAATGTTTCTTTAGTTTTCTCCCCAATGTCATCCCGATTGCTTTCCTGGTATCCTGCGACCGGCACACAGAGAACCCGGTCACAACTCGCGCAGAGCACTGCGTCGCCCCGCGTAAGGGAATGGTCTGCCGAAGGGAATATCACAGAACTATATCCGAATTCTGGCAACTAACTAATTACGCTTATTGTACTTACCAGTGAAATGTCCGTACCCAAGTGTTAAGTGTGTGTGGATCGCTCTCCAATGTTGCTTGCGGTGTGCTTCAGTGATAATAAGTTGGCACGTTCGAATCACGTGACAATTTTAATAACTGACTGCTTCGGGTGGAGGAGGGCATACAACACACGTTTAGATTATTTCGATTACTTGGCTGCTATAAATTTCCACATAAGCCACTTCGTTGAGCTATCATTTATGGCCAGGTCGCGTCTGAAAAAGAAGCTAATTGCTCAGTGGGCCGTACCTGGTGAAATAAAAATTTATTGTGATTTGTTTACCTTTCCTATACTTTGCACTCCTATCGTGTTTTTTGTTGTTTTAGCTACTTTCTGACCCGCCCCTCGGTATATTGGTTACTGTGTGCCGGATGTAGGAACATTGTTTGGGTCACTGACCCAGACAGAATTTTTCTTACCCGCCCCTACTGGACATCTGCGATGAGAAGCTTCGTACTCTTTGGTTCTTTTGGTAAAGTCACGTAGGTATAAAATAAAATAAATCACGTTTCGGGCGCAACACAAGCGTCCGTCATCAGGTGGGAAAGCATGGCCTGCTGCTGATGCAGACTGTTATAAAACAGTCAGTTGTGTTGTGCCCAAAACGTGATTTATTTTATACCTACGTGACTTTACCGAAAGAACCAAAGAGTATGGATTCCTGCAGTCACGAAAGCTTAAAATCAAGAAAGAGCTTCATAGCTTATTAGATTCCTCCAGTATATAAAAAAAGGTTCTGATTGTAACGTGGCAATCTGACCCAAATATCAATTATGAATCATATTGACCGCGAAATGCTACGTGTTGTTTTAATACTAAATAATAATATTATCGAGCAATGTTTATATTATCAATTGTGATTTACTTAACTACGTATGTGAACCTCATATATTTCACAGCAATACAAAGTTTTTACGACGCATTCATCACCGTAGCCAACACTGACGACTCACTGCGCTCCTATCAGTGCAAGCGAGTGAGAGCGCGTGAGTCAACGCGTTACCCCGAACCCCCACACCTCCCAAAACAGCGAGCCAGACAAAGACAACTCAAGGCGAGATCCAAAGTTAATTTGTACCTTCTCCGAGCCCCGGGGCTGCTGGCAGTGCGAGCTCACGGGACGTGACTCAAGGTCTCACATCATTGCTCACAAGGGCCCCCTCTGACGAGCAGGAGAAGGCTTGGAGTCTAGACGAGGGTGGGGGCTTAGAAGGGTTCAGTGGGGGTGGTTTCGGGGGGTGGGGGGAAGATGACCGTGGGGTTGGGAGTAATAGAGAGAAACTTGATTTGTCGCTGAGAAAAAAAAACATCATTGCGATACTGCTGCGTTGGGAGTGGTGCACACTCGTCAATAGCGCTGTACCGAAGGAAGACGCGATGCATGATGGAGCGAAGGCCCTTCCTTCATAGCTGCTCTGCTATGAAGAAGGACCAGAGTCTAACTTTCTTCAGGCTGGAACTGCCCAATCAGTGAAGCTCATCGACCTTTGAGCCATAATTTATAATGGCCCAAATTCCAATGTTTTGGGCTTTCAATTTTTTTTTTCTAATTGTCGACGATATTTTTTACGGCGAATTTCTACTTTCGTAACCCCTTCCTACAAACATCGCCACAATTCACAGCGGTCAGTCGGTAACAATCGTCGACATACGAGTAGACTAAACTGACTTGGAACAAAACAAAAAAAAACCAGGCAAGTTTCCAACTTCGTGACAAGCGTTTTTGTATTAGACACAACAGAACTGACGTTTGGGCCAACCCTACCTCTAGCCCTGCCCCTTAAGCCTCGAGCGTAAAGGGGCAGACGTCTCAGCCGGTCCCCTGCTCGAAGCCAGTCCAGCTCCCATGCATGACTCGGTGAAGATTTCCTGTAAAACAAACATAAACACATTGTTCAGGGATACTGCATTGGCCATTGCCCAAAACGTCGCCCATGCTATGTTTTGTTTCCACCCTTTGAAGGAGGCCCACACACCAGTGTGTGGCTAGTGATGTGCTGAGTTTCCTGCGCAAATCAGATCATTAAGCGGGTCATAACTGAGAAGTTACACCGTGAACCCGGTCACCTGAGTTCACGGCTAACATCAGTGGTAAGTGATATGTTGAACTTTGAACCGGTACTGGACACCCCCGCCCCGCCCTTCCACACCCCACCCCGACTTCTCCTGGGCAGTCCGCGCCGAGCGGCCTGAAGCGTCGTCACACTACGGCTCAGTGGATTTGCAAAACGAGTACATCTCCATATATATAACAGGCAAAGTTGTGATTATGTGTGCCTGTTCAAAATGTTTAGCGTACTTCCCGACATGCAACAAACTTGAAATTTGCCATGTGGGTACTTTCCAGACTGTACACCATGCAAAAAATATATAAATACACTTTTGTTTTGGGGGGAGGGAGCTCAATGTATATATTTTTTCACGGCAAGTGAGCTGTGATGTCAAATCTGTCACGTGACCCGCGCACGTGGAAGCGTAACGCATTGTAGTGTAGTGGTTAGCGCGCTGCGCTACGAACCCGGCGACCCGAGTTCGATTTCCGCTCACGGCCACCACCGGTGACGATTATTTTTACCGGTTCTGGGCCTCCCCTAGGTCGACTCAGCATCAAACGAGTAACTGTTCTGCTGTGTGAACATCGCCCTGGGGAGACAAAGGCGGCCGGGCGTGGTGCTGGCCACCCACCCCCTCGTTATGTATAAAAAAAAATCAAAATTGCATTATTGTTGTAATTTTTAACAAGTTCTCGTTATTCAATGCATCCTAACGGTATTATAAATATCATTGTGTGTGTGTGTGGTGCGTGTATATATGGCTTAGACTTTAGTTCTATATACACATTACATCTTTATTATTCCAATCCATTCTCCAAACTTATTTAGCAGTATAACACAATTGCCGTAGTATACACTAACACACACACACACCACACACGTAATTGTGTTACACTGCGACAATGTGTGTGTGTTAGTAACAATGTGTGTGTGTTAGTAACAATGTGTGTGTGTGTTAGTAACAATGTGTGTGTTAGTAACAATGTGTGTGTGTTAGTAACAATGTGTGTGTGTGTTAGTAACAATGTGTGTGTGTTAGTAACAATGTGTGTGTGTTAGTAACAATGTGTGTGTTAGTAACAATGTGTGTGTGTTAGTAACAATGTGTGTGTTAGTAACAATGTGTGTGTTAGTAGCAATGTGTGTGTTAGTAACAATGTGTGTGTGTTAGTAACAATGTGTGTGTGTGTTAGTAACAATGTGTGTGTTAGTAACAATGTGTGTGTGTTAGTAACAATGTGTGTGTGTGTTAGTAACAATGTGTGTGTGTTAGTAACAATGTGTGTGTGTTAGTAACAATGTGTGTGTTAGTAACAATGTGTGTGTGTTAGTAGCAATGTGTGTGTTAGTAACAATGTGTGTGTGTTAGTAACAATGTGTGTGTGTTAGTAACAATGTGTGTGTGTTAGTAACAATGTGTGTGTTAGTAACAATGTGTGTGTTAGTAACAATGTGTGTGTTAGTAACAATGTGTGTGTGTTAGTAACAATGTGTGTGTTAGTAACAATGTGTGTGTGTTAGTAACAATGTGTGTGTTAGTAACAATGTGTGTGTTAGAAACAATGTGTGTGTGTTAGTAACAATGTGTGTGTGTTAGTAACAATGTGTGTGTTAGTAACAATGTGTGTGTTAGTAACAATGTGTGTGTTAGTAACAATGTATGTGTGTTAGTAACAATATGTGTGTGTTAGTAACAATGTGTGTGTGTTAGTAACAATGTGTGTGTGTGTTAGTACCAATATGTGTGTGTGTTAGTAACAATATGTGTGTGTTAGTAACAATGTGTGTGTCATCGCGTTACTAAACCCTAACCCCAACACGAGCAAAATAAAAAAAACAAAGCTCACAGACACAAAGCTACAGATTAAAAAAGATCCCCCGTATAGCCTTTAACAGACTGTTGGGGCAAGTGCTGTTGGCGAGCACCACAGACTGTTGGGGCAAGTGCTGTTGGCGAGCACCACAAAAGACAAAGATCTCCCGTATAGCCTTAACGGACTGTTGGGGCAAGTGTTAGCGAGCGCCGACGAAGACCGGCACATGCACGTACACACAAAGACATATCCCAAGGCAGGCAGGCGCGCGCACCCACACACACGCACACCGTGATTAGGCAACACAAAAGCGCCCGTCAGTCACGCAGCGTGCGTGGCGCGCCGCTCCCCGCAGACTCTCACATTCCAGCCTCCCTGCACCGTGACTCGCCCGGCTCGTGACCTCTGACCTTTGTTCCCCACGAGAGAGGTCACAGATTCCTTTGACCCCGCGCCCGGGTCGCCACACACCTGTCGACTGCTGCTGATGATGATGATGCTGCTGCTGATGATGATGATGCTGATGATGCTGCTGCTGATGATGATGCTGATGATGATGCTGCTGCTATTGATTATGCTGCTACTCCCGATGCTGCTGATGACGATGCTTCCATGCTGCTGATGATGATAATGTTGCGACTGACGATGCTAATGATGCTGATGCTGCTGCTACTGATTATGCTGCTACTGCCGATGCTGCTGATGACGATGCTTCCAATGCTGCTGCTAATGATGCTGCTGACATGGATGATGATGCTGATATTAATGCTGTTGCCCTGGTGATGATGATACTGCTCTTAATATTGCGAATGGTTATGATACTGTGATGATGTCGAGGCTCAAAATATGGTTGGTTATACATATGCTTCTATGATGACACCGCTGTTGTGATGCTAATATCGCTGCCGCTGATGGTCCTATTGCTGATGCTGCCGATTATAAACACCGCTTTCTGATTAAGAATTTCTTGCTGCTGCTGCTGCTGCTGCCGACGTTGACGAGGCTCGCCGATGCAATGCATTGACTCACCCAACGTTGCGCAATTGCGAGAGGGACTTCTCCTGCAGAAACCCCACGTCCAACGCTGGACGTGATCGGTTTGATAATAACACCACGGGGCGCAGCCGCGGGAGTGGCGGCGGTGGCGTCTCCTGACCCATGCGGAGGAGCGTTTTTTTTTATTTTCTGTTACATTTCCCGGGTCTCCCCTTGGTATCATAAGCACGTTAACCAAATAAGTAACTGGGGCCTGCCAACTTCTTAAGATAGAAGATGCATTTTTTTTATATATATAAGTGGAGTCGGTCATGATGATGATGATAATAATAATTGTTGAAATATAATTCGTATTATTATTATGATCATCAGAGCTCAAATTCTCACGCCCAGACTCCACGACCCGCCACGGAAGGTGGCCGGGGGGGGGCGGGGAGAAACATTTCCCGGAGCTCAGCCCCGGGGAGCTCCAGCTCTCGTCAGGTATTGCTGATGGTAACGAATTGTCAGCGGCGAAGACGCCGAGAGGGAACCCCCGGCAGGCCGTTCGTGAGTGATGAGTCACGCGGCTTCGTCCTCTCTGACCTCAGATCACCATTGTGAAGGTGCTGACGCGCACGTGTGTGTTTGTGTTGTGTCCTACCATAGGTCGACTCAGCCTCAAATGAGCACCTGGTGCGATGTGTAAACATCGCCACAAGGGAGACAAAGGCGGCCGGGCGTGGTGCTGGCCACCCACCCCCCTCGTGTGCCTTGCCGGCCTTCATAGGGTGCTCGCTAACAGCACTTGCTCCCAAGTATGTGAAGGCTATCGGGGGATCTTTGACTTTGTGTCCTACCATAGCCTCCTCCGCATATAGGTCACCTCATCGCACTCCTTACACTCACAGCCACCTCCTCACAACATCTGTCAGATCGCTCCTTGCAGCCTCTAACCCTCACCCCAACCCTCACCCAACCCTCACCCCAACCCTCACCCCAACCCTCACCCAACCCCTCACCCCAACCCTCACCCCCAACCCTCACCCCAATCCTCACCCCAACCCTCACCCAACCCCTCACCCCAACCCTCACCCCAACCCTCATCCAACCCCTCACCCCAACCCTCACCCTAACCCTCACCCTAACCCTCACCCGAACCAACACCCCAACCCTCACCCTAACCCTCACCCAACCCCTCACCCCAACCCTCACCCAACCCTCACTCCAACCCTCACCCAACCCCTCACCCCAACCCTCACCCCAACCCTCACCCCAACCTTCACCCCAACTCTCACCCCAACCCTCACCCTAACCCTCACCCGAACCCTCACCCCAACCCTCACCCCAACCCTCACCCTAACCCTCACCCAACCCTCACCCAAACCCTAACCCTCACCCGAACCAACACCCCAACCCTCACCCTAACCCTCACCCAACCCCTCACCCCAACCCTCACCCAACCCTCACCCCAACCCTCACCCAACCCCTCACCCCAACCCTGGCGGGCGGGGGGAGCAGAACTCGAGAGCGGACGCCTGCTCGCCTCCCCCTCTGCTGCTGTCTGTGTGTGTCTGTCTGTGTGTGTGTCTGTCTGTGTGTGTCTGTCTGTGTGTCTGTCTGTGTGTGTGGCTATCTGTCTGTGTGAGTATGTCTGTGTGTGTCTGTGTGTGTGTATCTGTCTGTGTGTGTCTGTCTGTGTGTGTCTGTCTGTGTCTGTCTGTGTGTGTATATCTGTCTGTGTGTGTCTGTCTGTGTGTGTCTGTCTGTGTGTCTGTCTGTGTGTGTGTCTATCTGTCTGTGTGTGTCTGTCTGTGTGTGTCTGTGTGTGTGTATCTGTCTGTGTGTGTCTGTCTGTGTGTGTCTGTCTGTGTGTGTCTGTCTGTGTGTGTCTGTCTGTGTGTGTCTGTCTGTCTGTGTGTGTCTGTCTGTCTGTGTGTGTCTGTCTGTGTGTGTCTGTCTGTATCTGTCTGTGTGTCTGTGTGTGTCTGTCTGTATCTGTCTGTGTGTGTCTGTGTGTGTCTGTGTGTGTGTCTGTCTGTGTGTGCCTGTCTGTGTCTGTCTGTATCTGTCTGTGTCTGTCTGTCTGTCTGTGTGTGCCTGTCTGTGTCTGTCTGTATCTGTCTGTGTGTATCTGTCTGTGTGTGTCTGTGTCTGTCTGTGTGTCTGTGTGTGTCTGTGTGTGTGTCTGTGTGTCTGTCTGTATCTGTCTGTGTCTGTCTGTCTGTGTGTGTCTGTGTCTGTATCTGTCTGTGTGTGTCTGTCTGTGTGTGTGTCTGTGTGTGTCTGTCTGTCTGTGTCTGTCTGTGTGTGTCTGTGTGTCTGTTTGTATCGGTCTGTGTGTCTGTGTGTGTGTCTGTCTGTGTGTCTGTGTATCTGTCTGTGTGTCTGTCTGTGTGTGTGTCTGTGTGTCTGTCTGCGTGTGTGTGTCTGTCTGTGTGACTGTCTGTGTGTCTGTCTGTGTGTCTATGTGTGTGTCTGTCTGTGTGTCTGTCTGTGTGTGTGTCTGTGTGTGTGTCTGTCTGTGTGTGTCTGTGTGTGTCTGTCTGCGCGCCTGTCTGTGTCTGTGTGTCTGTCTGTGTGTCTGTCTGTGTGCCTGTCTGTGTGTCTGTCTGTGCGTCTGTCTGTGTGTCTGTGTGTGTCTGTGTGTGTCTGTCTGTCTGTGCGTCTGTGTGCTTGCCTGCCCATTTCTCCGTGCGCGTGTCTAGCGATTCATTTGTCACAAAACAACCACGGCGGTGGAGGCACTCACTCCCGTCCGCCCGACCAGCCCGTGATAAATAGCCCATCACGGACCCAACACCACCTCCTACAGACACGAGACAACACGGCACCCACACGCACCCACACGCGTTTAACACGGCACCCACACGCACCCACACGCGTAAACACGGCACCCACACGCGCGCGTTCCAACTCCGCCCGAGACCCAGGCGAGAGAGGCGTGAGTAATGAGGTGTCGTGACATCATCCGCGAGTTGTTCCTTGTGGGAGGAGGGGGAGGAGGTCACTTGATACTTACCCCAATTCTCGACGGAGAAGTCCAGAGCCGCTGAGTCCATCAGCGGACAGATCTTCTTCCATCCCGTCCGACGCTTCCATTTACGCGTGGCCCGTCCATCATCCACAGCTATCCGTCCGCGCGACCGGCACGACCTCCGTTGTTGTCGCTGCTGCTGCTGCTGTTGGATTCGATAAATCCACGAGGATCGAACGAGAGGCACGATCACAGGAATTTCAGACAGGTCTGTGCGTTTTCATCATCACCACCATCATCACCGCTCCTCCTCCCTGCTGCTCATCCTCCTCGGCCCCGCACGCCGTCTACTCCTCAATCAACCTGTGCGCGCCTTAATCAGCGGGTCGCCGCCGCATGATTCCTGCGCTGATCCCGCACGTTTGTGTCTCCCTTGCAGAGGCGCACTCGCTCGTCTCCAGTGCGGAGAGAAAGAGAGCAGAGGGAGAGAGCACGGAGAGAGATTGCGGAGAGAGCGCCCTTAACGCGTCCTCTCTCTCTCCCCCCACGCGCCTGCGCTCTCCGAACCTCGCCTCCTCCTCCTCCTCTCCACTCTCCTTCCTCCACTCTCAACCTCTCTCCTCTCCTCTCTTCCCCTCCCCACTCTCCTCTCTCATCCGCCGGAGTCGTAGAAACTTGTACTAGCAACGAGATATGATGGCCTCCTCTTCCTCAACCCCTTCCGATCCTTCATCCTCATCTCGCACAGCCTCCATCTCGCCCTGCACCTCTTCCTCCTCCTGTCATCCGTCATCATCGTCAATCGTCGCGGCCACCTCGTTCTTCTCCCATTTCTCCTCCTCGTCACTCTACCTCCCCGGGCCGTTCACCCGCGGAGAGAGGACCCGGGCCACGGTCGCCAAGTGCTCGTCGCTCGAGATGGAGCTCAGGAGGAAGAGGATTCGGGAGAGCGCGCTCTTCCCTCCGCCAGTGGTGAGTGCTTTACGTGTGTGTGTGTGTACCTAGCCTGGTACACAAGCGCCGTGATGGTGTGGAGGGAGCGGTGGTGTACGCGGTTGGCGCTACGCCGACCCAGAGTTCGGTTCCTGCTCGCGGCCAACACCGGTGACGGTTATCTGAACCGGTCATGGGCCTCCCCTAGGTAGACTCAGCCTCAAATGAGTACCTGGTGCTGGCCACCCGCGACCTCGTGTGCCGTGCCGGCCTTCATAGGTGCTCGCTAACAGCACTTGCCCAACGGTCTGTGCAGGCTATACGGGGGATCTTTGTCTTTGTGCCTAGCCTGGCACAAGTGCCGTGCTGGTGTGGTAACGTCAGCTCGGGGCGATTTTCCAGTCGTTGTTTCGTGCGTATTAGCGAGCAGCTATTCAGTAAAGATGTGTGCAGAGGCACGGTGCTTGTGACGTTCACCCGGCCGTCTTTGTTTCTCCGGCGTTGGTGTTTGAGCTCGGCGTAAGTTGTTTAAGGACGAGGCGACACGGGGGCGTGGGAGGTTGCGAACGCATCTCTGAAAATGAATGGAGACTACAGTATATCGTGCGTCTACGAAAGCAACGGATCTCGGTGACGGTGGATGTTGGGCGCTTCAATGTACAACTTCTCCGTTAAAAGCGGACAAGTCATTGAACTAAGAATCTCCATAAAACGCATTGAATGCGGGTGGCGTCGGCGAACAACTTTTCGATGAAAGTGAATAGCATTCATTTGAATGGACACACCCCGCACCGAACTTTGAATGAGAACGGACCCCTCTCCCTACGAGAGTAAATATAGGGGCGCCTTAGCTTGCATAACTCACACGTACCCCTCCCTCCACACGTACCCCTCCCTACACACGTACCTCCCCCCCTCCACACGTACCCCTCCCTCCACACGTACCCCCTCCCTCCACACGTACCCCTCCCTCCACACGTACCCCTCCCTCCACACGTACCCCCCCTTCCACACGTACCCCCCCTCCCTCCACACGTACCCCCTCCCTCCACACGTACCCCCCTCCCTCCACACGTACCCCCCCTCTACACGTACCCCCCTTCCACACGTGCCCCCCCCGTCTTCACAGTGCCCCCCTCTCTCCACACGTGCCCCCCCCGTCTTCACAGTGCCCCCCTCCTCCCTCCTCAACACGTGGTGGGTCCTGACTCAAGTTCTGCCATCAATCAGCCGTCGCCACGGGAACTCGCGCAGGAATGCGGCGATTCCTCTTTGCGGTCTCTCTCACGGCACAGGGCCCCGATGAATTCACACGGCTGGGGGGAGCAGCAGCAGTAGCAGCAGCAACAGTAGCAGCAGCAGCAACAGTAGCAGCAGCAGCAACAGTAGCAGCATCAGCAACAGCAGCAGCAGCAGCAACAGCAGCAGCAACAGCAGCAGCATCAGCGACAGCAGCAGTAGCAGCAGCAGCAACAGTAGCAGCAGCAACAGCAGCAGCATCAGCAGCAACAGCAGCAGCAACAGCAGCAACAGCAGCAGCAACAGCAGCATCAGCAACAGCAGCAACAGTAGCAGCAACAGTAGCAGCAGCAGCAACAGCAGCAGCAACATATTCTTTGGTTCTTTCGGTAGATGGAAAAATAATAAAAATAAAGCGATTAAAATTTTTAAATAAAAAATGTTAAACTGCAACCACTAATGTAGACTGTAGCCTGATTCTTAATCTGAGTGAGTGTACTGGCTTACAAGCTTAAAAACCAGGCTACAGTCTACATTATGGACTGCCAGTACGCTCGCCGAGGTTAAGAACCAGGCTACAGTCTGCATTAGTGGTTTTATTTTTTATTCACTTTACTTGTATTATTATTTATTTTATATCTACGTGACTTTACCGAAAGAACCAAATAATATGAATTCCTGCAGTCACGAAAGTTTTAAGTCAAAAAGTAGCAGCAGCAACAATTGCAGCAGCAACAATTGCAGCAGCAACAGTAGCAACAGTGGGAGCAACAGTGGGAGCAACAGTGGGAGCAACAGTGGCAGCAGCAACAGTGGGAGCAGCAACAGTGGGAGCAACAACAGTGGGAGTAGCAACAGTAGCAGCAGCAACAGCAGTAGCAACAGTAGCAGCAGCAACAGTGGGAGCAGCAACAGTGGGAGCAACAACAGCAGTAGCAACAGCAGTAGCAACAGTGGGAGCAACAGTGGGAGTAGCAACAGTGAGAGCAACAACAGTGGGAGCAACAGCAGTGGCAGCAGCAACAGTGGGAGCAGCAACAGCAGTAGGAGCAGCAGTAGCAACAGTGGGAGCAACAGTGGGAGCAGCAACAGTGGGAGCAGCAACAGCAGTAGGAGCAGCAGTAGCAACAGTGGGAGCAACAGTGGGAGCAACAACAGTGGGAGTAGCAACAGTGGGAGCAGCAACAGTGGGAGCAGCAACAGTGGGAGCAGCAACAGTGGGAGCAACAGTGGGAGCAACAACAGTGGGAGCAGCAACAGTGGGAGCAGCAACAGTGGGAGCAGCAACAGCAGTAGCAACAGCAGTAGCAACAGTGGGAGCAGCAGTGGGAGTAGCAACAGTGGGAGCAGCAACAGTGGGAGCAACAACAGTGGGAGCAGCAACAACAGTAGCAGCAGCAGTAGCAACAGTGGGAGCAACAGTGGGAGCAACAACAGTGGGAGCAGCAACAGTGGCAGCAGCAACAGTGGGAGCAGCAACAGTGGGAGCAACAACAACAGTAGCAGCAGCAACAGTAGCAGCAGCAACAGCAGTAGGAGCAGCAGGCGAACGAGAGCGCGAAGCCTCTGGTCCCATCTCTGGGGGGCTCCACGTGGTTGTTTTTGTTTGTTAGCGCTCTCAGTCTCAGGGATGATGTTTGTGAGTAAATACCAAACGTAAATACGCGTCACGTGACATTCTGTTGACGCTGTTGTGATTGGCTCCACGCTTTCCAATTAGGGCTGCCTAATGTTGCATATCCATCGTAGGGGACTGGGCGGCGGGGAGAGGTTCACTGCGGAGTGAATCGATCGATCTACGATCGATTCTAGGTCAAGGCTGAATGTCAGTGGCGAGTGACATCTGAAAGTGTTAGGGAGGCGCCTTCCCTTCAACCCGCACTGACCAGCGTGGTGAAGTATGGTTACACCCCCCCACCTCCCCCCATGAGACCGATATGGCGTAGGGAGATTTTCGTCCAGCACTGAATTCGACATGATTGTTATATCATTATAACGGGAATGAACGATCACAATAAAAACATGTTATCAAATCAAGGTCGTAATCATCATCTACTTCATCAAGGATGTCATCGTCAATTAAATCGAACGTCATCATTTCTATCTCAAATTCAGTGTAAAGATCATTTGCAACGTTATGTTTCAAGTGGAGGTCATTCTCATACGTTACATCACGTCAATCATCAACATCCACAGCCTTCATCGTGCCTTTTCTCATTCTGACCCAGTGCCGGATGATCCTAGTAGCACAAGTAGCTACACGTGCTACGGGCCCCGCACTTTCAAGGGCCCCGCGCTAAACGCTTTCAAGCTATCAATTCCGGTTCAGTGATTCTGCACTTGCTCCATTACTACAGTACTACACCGCCTTCAACTTTTATGAACGACTGGGTGTTTAAGGTTAGCGATTTGTCGTATTATCTGGCTGTATAGCAAATGAAAAAATACAATTACTTTACTATTCAAGTTAAACATTTATGTGTTTTAATATTTGTTTTTTTTATTTAGGGCCCCTTTATAACATATGCTACAGGCCCCGCACTAGCTTAATCCGGCACTGTTCTGACCACATATTTTGGGGAGGGGGGGGGTGTAATTCCACATTCCTATGGCTACCAACGCTGACCCCCAGTCTTTTCTCGACGTGCTTCACCTCGCGGACGCGTGGACAATTTGGCGACTCAATCCAGCAGAGGGCAGCCTTCACCCGAGCAGCGTCAACGAGTAACCACCCCAGCGAGTCGTCTACGATCGGCATGGTCGCGTGTGGGTGGTGAGGTGCAACGTGGGCACTAATTCTAACACGGCTAACCCTGAGTCAACGTGGGAGAACTTCGGCCTCATACCCTCGGCAGTGAAGGGACGCCCTTCCTCCAGCAGGGCACGCGAGTGAGAAATTACAGGGCGAGCAAATTGCCCCTTGAACCCCGTGATAAAAATGGGCTTGAAATGTGCGGCGTCAGTACAGTATCGAAGTAAAAAATATATATAACACAACAACAATAATAATTATTGGCGTCGCTTGTCAAGAACTGTAGGAAAGGAATTCAAGAAGCACACCGTTCAAACGCGCATCCTTCCCATACATGCCCCATATCTGTCCGTCCACATACAAACACACAAAAACGTGTGTGGGTATTTATTAGCACGTGATGACCTGAACATGGATGGGTTGCGCGAGCGCAGCGAGATTTACACTCCGAACTCGCTCCTCTTCCTGCTCCACCTCCTACTCCTCCACCTACTCCTCTTCCTGCTCCACCTCCTACTCCTCCACCCACTCCTCTTCCTGCTCCACCTCCTACTCCTCCACCCACTCCTCTCCCTGCTCCGCCTCCTACTCCTCCACCTACTCCTCTCCCTGCTCCACC